GGGGGGGGGGGGTGCCTCGCGGTGAGGGCTCCGCCGCATTCCCCGGGGACTGACCCGACGGTTTGAGGAACTCCTGCGCCGAGCCCAGGATGACATTGCAGTCGCGGTCGGTGCACAAGAAGCAGCCGACCAGGGTCCGTCCATCTGTCATGCGAATGCGCATAGTCTTGTTGAGCAGCGCCTCCAGCTGCTGCCGGGCCCGCGCAGCCGGCGAGTCCTCGCGCTCCCCGTCTGAGTCCTGCGCGGGGCGGGACACGCGCTGAGACTGCGCCGCCCACCCACGGAACCACAGCTCCCGACAGCCCGCGGGGCGCTCACACCAAGCCCAGAGGCTGCCGGGAGCTGCAGTTCCCCCTTCCGTCCCCCCATCTTGCTCCCCGGCTGCCCCTCAAGCCCGGCACTCGAGCCCGCGCTAACCCCGGCGCTGGAGCTGCTTTGACGCCGGCTGCAACAACCGTTCTCCTCGCGTAGCAGCATGGTTGGTCCGGCTCCGGCCATTTGCCCCCGGGCCTCCTGAGGGCCCTTCAACTTCTTAAGAACCTTTCGGGTCCGGTGGTCTGAGATCTCGCGAGTGCTCCCGACCTCTTTTCTTTCGCGAGATCACCTCTCCTCCTCTTAGTCTCCTGGGCAACTGCAGAGATCTCGCGAGCTTCTCTTCTCCGACGCTGAGGCTCGCTGAGGTCTATGGCGCCGGTTGTCTTAACATATCGCGAGAAGTTTTGCCTCTTTAGTTTTAGACCTAGCCGTTAGGGACCCTGGAATTAGCGAGAATACCTTTTTTCGTAATCGCACTCCACCCCACCCTCCCTTGCTTTTGCTGCCTCGCGAGACAGTCAGTCCTAAATATCCCTTTGTAGCCCAGACCACTCTGAAAACGGAAGGTGTTCGCTTTCGCCCGGAACCCTTGAGCACGCAGCCCGAGCCCTTGAAAGCCAGATTCGGACTACGTTTCCCGTGAGCACGCGCAGCCCACGCTCCGCCTCCTTACCCGCGCAGTGTTTGATCTCGGTGGCCGGTGGCCGGAGAGGGACAATGGTTTCCATGTCAGCAGATAAACGCGCTCGCGAGGGGGAAGAGATGCAGTGAGTGAGAGCGTGCCGAGAGCGACGAAGCAACGGGAGATGGTGGCCGATAGTGCAAGAGCCATGCCGCGCCGAGGCCTAGTGGCCGGACCAGACTTTGAGTTTTTCTTGCGTCGGTATTTCACGCCGGCCGAGGTGGCCCAACACAACCGGCCGGAAGACCTTTGGGTATCTTACCTGGGATCCGTGTACGATCTGACACCGTTGGCTCAGGAGTATAAGGGTAAGGGCCGCGCTCTGGGCCAAGGCCAGGGCGTACGTTCGG